ATAAAATCTTGAAGATGGAAAAGACATTATAATGAATGCCAAATAGAGTTAGACGATATTTTTTGTACTGTTATTTAATTATTTGAATTTTGGTAAACTGACATGTTTTTTTTATTTCTTAATAATTTTCAGAAAAACATTAAGGAATGTTTAATGTGTTTTTTAAATGTTTTTAATTACAGTATTTGACGTTTCTATCTTTAATGATAACAAGTAGATAACTATTTAAAAATGCTTTATGAATACGAATGTAAAGCCCGTTTTTTCAATTCTGTCTGAATAAAGTTAGAGCAAGTAGTTACTTTTAACTTTACTCATAGATGAAAAAACTGGCCCTAAATATTGTAAATATACACATAAATTAACACATTTATAATATAATACAAAGTTTAATGCGTATTTTTAAACATAGACCAAATATTAATATTAATACATATAAGGCTGAATATCTAGAATTTGGAACAATAGTAAGCTGGATTAAGACCAAATTATAACGTTTATTTTTTCTGTAGGACACTGAAAATGATCGGGATTAAAAAATAATTCCGATTTGACATTTTGGAAATGAATGAAGTTTATGTCAAAAACTGTTATGTCAAATGTCAACAGACTTGCATGTCCAATGAAGTGGAGAGGGGTAAAATGCCAATTATGTATGCTGAACCAATAGAACTAGTGAGTAAATCTATTTGAGCAACCATTTTATTGTTCATATCAATCGAGAGAAAATCATTTATGCGATTCGGAAAATTTTAATGTGTTTCTTGAAAATGTAAAAAAGTCGTTTCCGACAAATTTTCCGACTTTTCCGATGACACTAATAATTCGCGTATACTACACGACATTCTTGACAATATGGCATCGAAATTTTTCCAATACCAAAGGAATTTTCAAGGAAAAATTTGTTTGTAGAGGAAAACTTAAAAAACCGCAATTCTTTTATTTTTTAAAAAAAATGTTCTCTATAGTATTTTCTTACGGTAAAGTGAATTTTCGTTATTTTTCCGGGAGAACCGCCCTTAGTGGTTGCATAACTAGTTATGACTAGGAGTGGGCAAAATTATCGATTAGTCAATTATATTTTTTTTAATTGATATTCGATTAATAGATTACTTTCGATTAATCGAATAATTTCGATTAATCTATTATATTATATTCTATTAATCGATTATTTTATATTAATCATTATTTTGGATTAATTGAATATTTTCGAGTAATCGATTATTTTAGTGTTATCGATTATTTTCGATTAATCGATTATTTTGGAATTTTAAAGATTAATCGATTAATTAAAATACTCTACTGATCACTTAATCGAATAGGAAATACAAAAAAATAATTTTCTTACAATCTAATAAAAAACGTGCCGATTTTTTCGATTAATCGATTATTTTTTATTAATCGATTATTTTTCCCAGTCCTAGTTATGACTTGGCTCACTAATTTCTCCAGATTAAAATGAACAATAAAATGGCCGCGCAAATAAAGTCACAACAGACATTCTACCCCACTCAATTCCATTGCGAAAGCTAGGGCAGTTACTAAACTTCATTTTTGTTTGTCAAATATCGATAAACTGTCAAATAAGAAATTTAGTCTTCAAGCCAAGTTGTTTAATGTTCAACTTTGGTCATTAAGTACATTTTGAGGCTACATAATACTTCTAACGTATTTAAAGAAAATATTCGCTAATTTCTAGTGATAGTGATGCAAATATCTTATTCTAAGGAAATTTGGATCTAAACTATCAAAATAAAATTTCAATGAATTTCACTATTAATCAAATTAACATTACTATTAATTATAATTCAGTCATTATTGGTATCCATTTCACATAAATGAGCTTATTATAATAATACAACGTTTATTTTTTATGTAGGAACCTGAAAATGATCGGGATTAAAAAATAATTCCGATTTGACGTTTTGGAAATGAATGAAGTTTATGTCAAAAACTGTTATGTCAAATGTCAACAGACTTGCATGTCCAATGAAGTGGAGAGGGGTAAAATGCCAATTATGTATGCTGAACCAATAGAACTAGTGAGTAAATCTATTTGAGCAACCATTTTACTGTTCATATCAATCGAGAGAAAATCATTTATGCGATTTGGAAAATTTTAATGTGTTTGTTGAAAATGTAAAAATATCGTTTCCGACAAATTTTCCGACTTTTCCGATGACACTAATAATTCGCGTATACTACACGACATTCTTGACAATATGGCATCGAAATTTTTCCAATACCAAAGGAATTTTCAGGGAAAAATTTGTTTGTAGAGGAAAACTTAAAAAACCGCAATTCTTTTATTTTTCAAAAAAAAAAATGTTCTATATAGTATTTTCTTACGGTAAAGTGAATTTTCGTTATTTTTCCGGGAGAACCGCCCTTAGTGGTTGCATAACTAGTTATGACTAGGAGTGGGCAAAATTATCGATTAGTCAATTATTTTTTTTAATTGATATTCGATTAATAGATTACTTTCGATTAATCGAATAATCTCGATTAATCTATTATATTCTATTAATCGATTATTTTCTATTAATCATTATTTTCGATTAATTGAATATTTTCGAGTAATCGATTATTTTAGTGTTATCGATTATTTTCGATTAATCGATTATTTTGGAATTTTAAAGATTAATCGATTAATTAAAATACTCTAATGATCACTTAATCGAATAGGAAATACAAAAAAATAATTTGCTTACAATCTAATAAAAAACGTGCCGATTTTTCGATTATTTTTTATTAATCGATTATTTTAGATTAATCGATTATTTTCTATTAATCGATTATTTTTCCCAGTCCTAGTTATGACTCGGCTCACTAATTTCTCCAGATTAAAATGAACAATAAAATGGCCGCGCAAATAGAGTCACAACAGATATTCTACCCCACTCAATTCCATTGTGAAAGCTAGGGCAGTTACTAAACTTCATTTTTGTTTGTCAAATATCGATAAACTGTCAAATAAGAAATTTAGTCTTCAAGCCAAGTTGTTTAATGTTCAACTTTGGTCATTAAGTACATTTTGAGGCTACATAATACTTCTAACGTGTTTAAAGAAAATATTCGTTAATTTCTAGTGATAGTGATGCAAATATCTTATTCTAAGGAAATTTGGATCTAAACTATCAAAATAAAATTTCAATGAATTTCACTATTAATCAAATTAACATTACTATTAATTATAATTCAGTCATTATTGGTATCCATTTCACATAAATGAGCTTATTATAATAATACAACGTTTATTTTTTATGTAGGAACCTGAAAATGATCGGGATTAAAAAATAATTCCGATTTGACGTTTTGGAAATGAATGAAGTTTATGTCAAAAACTGTTATGTCAAATGTCAACAGACTTGCATGTCGAATGAAGTGGAGAGGGGTAAAATGCCAATTAGGTATGCTGAACCAATAGAACTAGTGAGTAAATCTATTTGAGCAACCATTTTATTGTTCATATTAATCGAGAGAAAATCGTTTATGCGATTTGGAAAATTTTAATGTGTTTGTTGAAAATGTTAAAATATCGTTTCCGACAAATGTTCCGACTTTTCCGATGACACTAATAATTCGCGTATACTACACGACATTCTTGACAATATGGCATCGACATTTTTCCAATACCAAAGGAATTTTCAGGGAAAAATTTGTTTGTAGAGGAAAACTTAAAAAACTGCAATTCTTTTATTTTTTAAAAAAATGTTCTCTATAGTATTTTCTTACGGTAAAGTGAATTTTTATTATTTTTCCGGGAGAACCGCCCTTAGTGGTTGCATAACTAGTTATGACTAGGAGTGGGCAAAATTATCGTTTAGTCAATTATTTTTTTTTAATTGATATTCGATTAATAGATTACGTTCGATTAATCGAATAATCTCGATTAATCTATTATATTCTATTAATCGATTATTTTATATTAATCATTATTTTGGATTAATTGAATATTTTCGAGTAATCGATTATTTTAGTGTTATCGATTATTTTCGATTAATCGATTATTTTGGAATTTTAAAGATTAATCGATTAATTAGAATACTCTAATGATCACTTAATCGAATAGGAAATACAAAAAAATAATTTTCTTACAATCTAATAAAAAACGTGCCGATTTTTTCGATTAATCGATTATTTTTTATTAATCGATTATTTTCGATTAATCGATTAATCGATTATTTTCTATTAATCGATTATTTTGCCCAGTCCTAGTTATAACTTGGCTCACTAATTTCTCCAGATTAAAATGAACAATAAAATGGCCGCGCAAATAGAGTCACAACAGACATTCTACCCCACTCAATTCCATTGCGAAAGCCTAGGGCAGTTATTAAACTTCATTTTTGTTTGTCAAATATCGATAAACTGTCAAATAAGAAATTTAGTCTTCAAGCCAAGTTGTTTAATGTTCAACTTTGGACCTTAAGTACATTTTGAGGCTACATAATAGTTCTAACGTATTTAAAGAAAATATTCGTTAATTTCTAGTGATAGTGATGCGAATATCTTATTCTAGGGAAATCTTGATCTAAACTGTCAAAGTAAAATTTCAATTAATTCCATTACTAATCAAATTAACATTACTATTTATTATAATTCAGTCATTATTGGTATCCATTTCACATAAATGAGCTTATTATATTAATACATATTACAATACGAAAAAAAAAAGTAGCTACCAATGTACTATTTGGCACTTTGAGGTTTTACATTTAAAGTAATATCCTGTAAAAATATTTGTTTTCTTTATTAAGTAACAATGGCCAGAATGGATCAGTTAAATTCCCAACAAGGAAGGAGTGCAACAAGGAATTAATTTAAGCCCGCTTGTACTCTCACTAAAAATAAATAAACAGAGAAAGCAAAAATAAATGATAAATTGCATTTAGCATAATAATAATAATAATAAAACCTCAATAACTATTAATACATGAAGCCCAAAAGCGACAATCACGAAAAAATAACTTGGAATATATGTCAAAATTGGAGAAGGAGGGATTTAGGGAACATTTAACTGTCGATTTTATATTACCAACCTACAAAATGCGTACTGTACAAGAACGCATTCAAAACAAATATTTTTAAACTAATGAATAAATCATCTTTACTAAGTAAAACCATATTTTTATATACAATCCAAGAAACAGCTGTCTCAAATCAATACCATGATGTGAATTTTTACAGATTTAGAAACTTGCAATTATTTGTTTATCAAACAGTTGAGTTCTAATTTGTAGGTATCGATGAAAGACAGTCCCTTTGTAATTATTTACAGACTTATTTACGGAACGGAGGTTGTATCTGTCTCTTTTCTTTTCTTGTCATGTATTCGAGAATGAAATATTATCATTGACAAACATCTTAGACAGCTGAATGCTTGCCAATAATTTCTCCTGATTTGGAATGGGTGAATCGCCCGTCAAACTCAACGGACATGGGTTTTTCTTCATGTTGCAGAGGTTCACGTTCGTCCCTACGAAAAATGTTAGGTTAAAACATAATTGTAAGTAAAATTAGTTAATTTTTTAGTAGATATCTCGAAAAAAGCCTGTTGTAATGGTAAATAAAATAGTCTGTTACTTTTCGCTCGCTTTGCTTCTAAAATAATAGTTTAGAGTGTACAAAGAGCATTATTTTTTCGAGAAATCAGTATTTTAAACTATATTATATGCTGTTCAGTTTCTTTTTAAATCCAGGATGGCTATGGAATATGTAAATTTTACAGATTTCACTACGTATTAGGCATTGGGTTTTGACAGGTTATGATGATATGGCAAAATTATGGCAGCCCTGTAGGCCTGGTGATTTAACAGTGTCAATGTCATAGGTAGTTATATAGATTGATCATCCATGTTTTTCGAAATAAACATAAGCTTATGCCTAAAAGTAAAAATGTAGGTAATTATATTTTTTTTACTATATTCAAAGGATGAAAATTGCTTTCTAAACACATTTTTATTAAACCGATTCTGATAAATGAGCACTTGCGAGGCAATATGGCCATACGCTTTAAGCAATCTTTATAACTATATATGTATCATTGACCCTGTCAATAACAACAGGCCCACAGGGTTACCATATCTAAACTGTCATTTTCCACTTGGCAGCATTTTGACAGGTCGTTGGAATGCATAATAATATAAATTAGGCATTGCAATCAAAAGAACTGTCGGTGGGAAGGTTTGGTATATTTAAGGGAATGCCGACATACGATGTATTCTATCTACAAAACGTTAAATCATGAATAATGTATTAATTTTAAATTTTTTATGAAAATATTATTTTTAAAAAGCTGCTTATACATTTATCATAAGTTGGCAGGCTTGGCGACTACTATTTCAAGTAAATATAACGTTCAAGATGAAAGGATATGCCTCAACCCCCTTAGATATACGAGCCCTTCCCACTGGCAGCTATTATTTGACAGGTCATTGGAATGCCAATATTAATTAGTTCTTTTTCGAGATTATGTGCTATACATGAAAACTAGTCTTTATAGTGCTGTAACAGATCATTTTATCATTTAAAGCAACGCTGTCAACTTGATTTATATGAAAAAATATCTAAACTAAAAAAAATAATTTTTTTATATATTGTGTTCATGGATGGAAATAGCTATTTTAGTCCATTTAAAATAACGGTTAAAGGTCGAGAAACGCCGCACTTGACGAGACCACTTGTCCTCTACGTATTTTGGAGCGCTGATTACGAAAATGAGCGTTAAAACTGGCAGCAATGATTGGAACACCCCTAAAATTACAAAGAACACCCCTAGACAGGGGTGTTTTTCGACTGTACTTGTTATTTTGCAAACTAAGCCATCTTATATGTTTTTTGGGGCGCTGATTACGAAAATCGGGGTTAAAACTTGCAGCAAAGGTTGAACCATCCCTAAAATTGCAAAAACACCCTTAAATAGGGGTATTTTTCGGCTGTACTTGTTGTTTTGCAAACTAACTCATCTCATATGTTTTTTGGGGCGTTTTTTAGGGGTGTTTTTTTACAATTTTAGGGGTGTTCCAACTATTGCTGCCAGTTTTAACCCTCATTTTCGTAATCAGCGCCCCAAAATACGTAGGGGACAAGTGGTCTCGTCAAGTGCGGCGTTTCTCGACCTTTTACCGTTATTTTAAATGGACTATTTGTATATTAAGAGCAAAAAGTGATATTTTGCCGCTTGTGATAGAAAGTTGCCGCGCTACGCTACGCGTCGAAAGTGGCAACGAACTTTTCGCTCAAAATACACACAAGATTTTTTCTACGATCACATTGCTTTTAGAAATATATATAAAAACTGAAAATTTGTCATAAGTAGTGTATAATATGTTGCCTATATCTACGTTATTTATGAAAAAAGGAGTTGATATTCAAATCAATGTTAACTTGGGAAATAAAAGAAAAAACATCACACTAGGTACAAATAACTTAAAAATAATTTATTAAAATGAAATAATATTATTATATTATGGGGACCGTGCGTGAAATATAGAGGCAGCACTACTGCCGAGGTTAGCCCTCTCTAGTGTTTAATTTTAGAATTAAATGGGGTAAACATTGCAAGTAAATAATGAAGGATATTTTTAAAATATTAAATATATTTAAATATAGATACCGGTCCGTAACAAACATGTATATAGATTTTGAGCAAAAAGATTTAAAAAATTGGCCCGGACGTCATACAAGATGTTCTTCAAGAATTTAATAACCGCATTGGTTATTGTCAAGAAGTTAACGGCAATCATTTTGAACATATAATACCATAAAATTATAGTATTATTAATAGAATAGTTAAAAATAAAAATTGATGTTTCTTGAATATAAATGTACAAAAAACAAAAAATCTTATACTGCTGAATAGGGAATTAAAAAACCTTTGAAATGATGTATCACACGCTACCCCTTTCTCTTTAAAAAAATTAAAGGGGTGGCTTTTACTCCGAACGGGTTGAAGAGGGAGATAAATAATTTTGTTCAGAAAATATTATTTTAGAAATAAAAATCGACCTGTTCAAGGATTTTTTTCAAAACGTAATAATAAAGCCAATAATTAATATATTCCACAAATATTGACCACCCTGTATAAATAGGCAAAGACAAAATATTTTAGTACCATTTTCTCTTCTGTTTGTGCACCGATTTTCTTTTTTTTATTTTTGATTAGTAGCTATTAACGAGCTTTAGTGTTATCAATAAATTTGAAAACAGTAAGAAAGAGTAGACAAAAAACGTTAAAAACATGGAAATTCATGTGTTTTCCTCAAATTTTCAATAACGATTATGATTGAATGTCGTCCACAGTACGAACACTAATCTTAATAAATGGATAAGTACCCAAAATATGTTAGAAAAAAACACAAACAACATAAATTTCTGAGATTATAATTTTATATTAAATTTTTATATCTAGAATTATTTAGAATATTTATTATTTTTCATAAAGTAATTTTAGGATCTATTCTTTCTTATAAACTTTTAGAATCATTCAATTTAGAGTACCAATAAGTATTCATCAAAATGATTTAGTTTTTATTTTATTTAACAGAACTAATCGTGAATTATTTTGCAAGTTTAAGTTCATTAAATTTGGATACTTAACTGAGTGTTGGTGTTTGCTTTTAAAGTGATGTAAAGTGGCAAATTATTGATAATTTATCTTTTCAATTATTTTTAATTTTATATTGTATGTAGTTCAATAAATAAAACGAAAAAAGATTCGTGAATTTCATGTGAAAGTAACGTTTCAACGTTACATTTTTTGGTAAAGTGTTTGTGAACAAGAAGAACGTTGACAGAGTAAACGATGTTTGATTTTCATGACCATGGATTTAAAAAAATACTGAACGTTATATAAAAACAAATCATGCAAAGCATGGCAATGCATATCAGTTGTTTTTAAAAAACAAACTATATAATGCGATCTTTCTAAATCAGTTTAACACATTTTTTAAATCAATTCAGGGAGTAATAGTTCATAGAAATGATTTATTTCTAACAGAACCTCACCAATACCTAACTACCCTGTATTGAGTCATTGTACCTATTCCTAAATTTAAGGTGTACTTTAAAGCAAAAAATAATAAATATTGAGTAATAAAAATATGATTTAATAACAGATATGTTCCAGCATGCAGATAAAGTATAGGTGATAGGACACATTTGACGTTCCGTGCCATTATAGAAGTACTCTGAGAAAACAAATGCACGCAAATATAAACTACAACTGCGAAAAATGCATTCTCTGCTTTTTTATCATAAAACAGTTAAATAAAGTTACGAGCTAAAGATACTGGAACAAACCTATTTAAGAAGCTGCTATAAAAGTAAAAAAATATTTAATGTGAAGAGCATCAATATATTACTAGGAGCAGCTTAAAAAAACAATTAAAGCCTTAACTTACCTAAACCATATAAATATTAACCTTATTTAAATAAATAAAGCCAAATTATAAAAAACATATTTCTAAGAAAAAATAAAGATAAAGAAAAACATAATTCGTAAAACAATGTTAATGCGCGTACATGCATTCATTGCAGCATGCTTTTACCAGTTTTTCCAACCAATCAGCTTTGTATCTCCCTTGACAGGCTGTCATTACCTTAATGACAGTGATAAGTGAGGTTACCTATCAATTTATATTATGATATTGGCATTATAACAACTATAAAAAAAGTATGCATTTTTTAAGTAAAATATCAAATGCTTTCGACATTTTAGAACATCAAAAATCAGGACAAAACTATTTCCACATAGCCTGATAATAAGCAAACCTAAAGATGATTCTCTAAACAAAACTGTAAAAAAAATTATTTAAAATCGATACTATATAGTGAACTGTAAACAGTGTCGGCTATTCAACGCTTTCCAATACACTTTGCTAATGTCAAAGAGAAAACTACAGAAAGTTAGCATAAGTGGCAGTTGAAAACTAATAATATCAAAATTATAAGTTTACATGGACCGACTTCGTGAGGATCTATCGTTGTGTACCGGGCCGTTTTAACTGGAAACGTTGATATTATTCATTTCCTGTTCCCACTAATGCTCACACTCTGTGGTTTTTACTTTAATATTACCAAAACTTATTGGAAAGTATTCAATAGGCGACAGTGTATATTGTATATCATACATTATGTAGAAAAAACTGGAGAAGAGTTAAAAATGTTACTAACTTCCACATTTAAGTACAGTGATTAAAAATAGAGGATACATATGTATTCTATCAAATCAAAAAAGCCTAATTCAAAGCAACGAAGAGGTGCAACTGAGAGAGACATCGCTGATTGTTAGACACACTGGATTTGACATTTTGACTGTATAAAACCTTACATAGGCGACGGCGCCAACTTGATCGGCTGCGGCAAGTTCAAACTGCTCGGATGCGCAGGCGCAGCTTTGTAACTGCAATAAGGCAGGGGAAAACGCCAACTGTATAAACTGAAATTTTTCTTCGTATGTGTACGTGTCATTTGGTCGCATATACGAATTATATTCATCTATACCGATGACAGGTGACAGATTAAGCAATGAAATAACGCTACATAGTGAACCAATTGTTAGAATTACATTACGTTAGGTACAAGTGGCTACATCCTGTAGGTGTTTTGTATTCGGTTCATGTAATGATACCACTTGATTTATTAAAAAAAATGCATGAAGAGTAGCGTAATTTGCTTATATTTTGATTTATGATTTTAAAAGTTTTAAAATAGTTTTAAAAAGTTTTAAAATGTTTTAAAAAGCTTTAAAAAAGTTTAAAAAAAGTTTTAAAAAAGTTAAAAAAGTTTTAAAAAAGTTATTAAAAAGTTTAAAATTTTTTTTAAAAAAGTTTTAATATTTTAATTTATGATTTAAAAAGTTTTAAAACAGTTTTAAAAAAGTTTTAAAAAAGTTTTAAAAAAGTTTTAAAAAAGTTTTAAAAAAGTTTTAAAAAAGTTTTAAAAAAGTTTTAAAAAAGTTTTAAAAAAGTTTTAAAAAAGTTTTAAAAAAGTTTTAAAAAAGTTTTAAAAAAGTTTTAAAAAAGTTTTAAAAAAGTTTTAAAAAAGTTTTAAAAGAGTTTTAAAAAAGTTTTAAAAAAGTTTTAAAAAAGTTTTAAAAAAGTTTTAAAACGGTTTTAAAAAAGTTTTAAAAAAGTTTTAAAAAAGTTTTAAAAAAGTTTTAAAAAAGTTTTAAAAAAGTTTTAAAAAAGTTTTAAAAAAGTTTTAAAAAAGTTTTAAAAAAGTTTTAAAAGTTTTAAAAAAGTTTTAAAAAAGTTTTAAAAAAGTTTTAAAAAAGTTTTAAAAAAGTTTTAAAAAAGTTTTAAAAAAGTTTTAAAAAAGTTTTAAAAAAGTTTAAAAAAGTTTTAAAAAAGTTTTAAAAAAGTTTTAAAAAAGTTTTAAAAAAGTTTTAAAAAAGTTTTAAAAAAGTTTAAAAAAGTTTTAAAAAAGTTTTAAAAAAGTTTTAAAAAAGTTTTAAAAAAGTTTTAAAAAAGTTTTAAAAAAGTTTTAAAAAAGTTTTAAAAAAGTTTTAAAAAAGTTTTAAAAAAGTTTTAAAAAAGTTTTAAAAAAGTTTTAAAAAAGTTTTAAAAAAGTTTTAAAAAAGTTTTAAAAAAGTTTTAAAAAAGTTTTAAAAAAGTTTTAAAAAAGTTTTAAAAAAGTTTTAAAAAAGTTTTAAAAAAGTTTTAAAAAAGTTTTAAAAAAGTTTTAAAAAAGTTTTAAAAAAGTTTTAAAAAAGTTTTAAAAAAGTTTTAAAAAAGTTTTAAAAAAGTTTTAAAAAAGTTTTAAAAAAGTTTTAAAAAAGTTTTAAAAAAGTTTTAAAAAAGTTTTAAAAAAGTTTTAAAAAAGTTTTAAAAAAGTTTTAAAAAAGTTTTAAAAAAGTTTTAAAAAAGTTTTAAAAAAGTTTTAAAAAAGTTTTAAAAAAGTTTTAAAAAAGTTTTAAAAAAGTTTTAAAAAAGTTTTAAAAAAGTTTTAAAAAAGTTTTAAAAAAGTTTTAAAAAAGTTTTAAAAAAGTTTTAAAAAAGTTTTAAAAAAGTTTTAAAAAAGTTTTAAAAAAGTTTTAAAAGTTTTAAAAAAGTTTTAAAAAAGTTTTATGAAAGTTTTAAAATACATTTTTTTATTAAATAAATCAATAAAAGTCAATTAGAAATATACCGGGTATCAATACTTCAAAATAATGCAAGAATATATTTATTTAAGTAAATAGTACATAGCATATTTTTCAGTTTGTCATACCCTATTAAATTTAAAATAAAACCGTTAAAACCTAAACTATTTAAAAATATAAATGCTTGCGTTATTTTGGAGCAATGGTGCAGATATATTATTGCGTTATGAGTAATGGTGCAACTAATATAACTTGATTTATTTTATAAAACTTTTTTCAGAAATCTAAATATTAGCAATAAAAGTTACGTTCTTTTTTGGACACACTGTATGCTGTATATTTATTGTGATTTAAAAATTTAGAAGTCAGTATAGAAGTGTTATAGTAAGTATATGTTTTGCGGCAGAATTATGAAATTTACAAATTAGTAAAATAGTAATTAAAGCTCTAATCAAAACTAGAGTGATAAAGAATGCTTAAAAAATGCTTAAAAAAATTTATAAATTCTTTTGACGAACCATGTAAATCACATACATTCATTGGACATCCATAAATGAGACTCTTAGTACGTTCAAGAGAGTATCAATATAGATCAATATAGTATCCCAAATATGGATATCCCTTTAATGGATGAGTATAGTAGCGATATTTATGTTACATGTGAATTTAATAATCGCATTTTTGAAAATCAAATATTATTTTAGTCTTACCTCCCCAATTTGGGATCTTCATCTTCAGCTTGTTTGGTTCTAGCATTGCAGCATAACGCTATGACCCCCATTCTATTCACAAAATAACACGTTATATCCAATACTAGTAGAATTAGTACTATTGATGCTATCACGATACCAATAATAGCAGAACTGCTCATGGCTGGCTTTTCCATCGGAATAATTGGGTCAATACCTAAAGGAAGAAAATTTTATAATTAAAAACTATTCGTTTCTGAGTTTCTACAATGGTTTTAGAAGTTGAGTTAAAAATTTGCATGGTGATGAATTGATGTCGCAATTATTTTTGATAATTTAATAATAAAATGGTACATAGTTATTTTTATTAGTTTAATCATTTATGATATTCATGCAATGCAATAATAACAAACAATTAAAACACGATTTTTTTTGTTTTATGAGTAACTTTCACTATTTGACAGTACAATAGTTTACCTACCGTTTTTATTTCGGTAGTTAAACATATTTGAAAATTTGTATCACTACGAACAAAACTGTTTTCAATAACATCAAAATTATGTTTAACTATAAGCGAACTAGGTACAACAAATGACGAAGCAGATGATTATCCTTTTCATATTTACAGTGGCGCAGCAATAACTTTTATTTGACAGTACAAGGTTGGAAAATATAAGGTATTATTCCATTCCTTATATAAGATATGTAAACACATTCAGTTGGAGAACTTTCTAGCTCTATTTTATTAGTTAATCATTAATCATTATCTATACTGGCTACTTAAAATTAATTAAAGCTCGCTTTTAAACTGGCAAAAACCAAAACCATTTACTATAAAAACATTTATAACAAGTAAGATTTAAAACAGAAATAAAACACGAATCGTAAAAATTGAAACAAAAATAAAAAATACGAATCCTCGAAAATTAAAATTAAATAAATAACAATAAAATACGACTTAAAATTACCAAATAATCTGTTAAAATAATTGTTTTACTGTTGGTCACCGTCGGTATCTAAGAAGTCATTTTTGGAAGTTGGCTCCAAATGTTACTCTTTAGAGTCATTATTATCGTTACCAATGGTAATAATAATAAGTTCTAATAATATTTATAATCTTGGCAGTGGCGGGGTGAGACCAAAATTTTATGTGGGCAAGATACACTTTGCGAGGCCCACTGGTGGTTCAAGAGGACGGATTTTAAATAAATACAGAAAAAATTAGCTGTAATATTTTTATTTATAAAAATATAAACATCTTCACTTTACCTAACATTATTGAGTAATAACTAACAGTAAAGGAATATCCTGCTTTTAGCCTAGGGTGAACATATTTCGTTTGACCCAATGCTGAACGATGAACACGAATACAACATTAATGAACTTTGGGGAGGTGAATACTTTTTTAAGCTCCCCAAAAATAAATACAAAAACCTTTTTAACTCTCCATACAATAAAAGAGGAGTCATGTATTACGTCTTATTTGTTACGTTTCAGTAAATTATTTATTACATTGCGAGATAAATACGGTGGTTTGCTATACAAGATAAAATACTGGACTGACTTTAAAAATGCTGTATGTATGGTCACCCTATTTTAACCTTACTGATCTTAATAACTGTATCCTAATTCCGTTTAGGTGCTGTATTAGAAAAAACTGCAAAAGCTGAAAGTCTTTGCTAACATATGTACTTCTTAAATAATTTTTTATTAGTTTTAATTTTGGAAAGCTTCTCTCAGCGGAGACTGTATGATATTTACACGCGATAATAGCTCATACCATAAACGTAATAATAATTCTAAGCTTTGCATTTCGTTTAAAATTGAATCACAATCACTGAGTTTTTTTGAGTCTTCCGTGATTTTTGAGCATTCACTGCATTCAACATTATCAAATCACAATCATTTGGGCTTCATTGCCTCGATTCTGCTTCTGCACCTTGTATCTGATAAAGGTTTTATAGTAAGCTTTAATTTGTCTTTGATTAATTCACAGCTTTTGCTGGAATTTAAAAATACCAAATACATTTTCCGAATAAAAGCAAAAAAATTTTTTGCCGCTGCAGAAGAATCAGCTGCATCTACCAACAGAAGATTTTAATTATGACACTCGCGGTCACGTCTTTTAATGATCCTAGCTAAATATTTTTGAATTAAAGAAAGCTGCATAAACCTTTGAGACGCGAGGCCCTTTGGACCACAAGGCCGTAGGCGATGGCCCACGTCGCCCACGCCTTGCGCCGCTTCTGAATCTTGGATCTAAGTCCCAAGGTTTGCCTTTTTCTTTTACCACGTGCGGCCAGTGCATTTAGACCAATTAGCAGCTGCAACAGCACTTAGTGCGCTGTTTAATAACTATTTATGCAACCAGTTACATAAAATTGCATTTCGTAACGTGTTACATACAATCTTTTTTCTAATTTTGACTAGATTATATAATAAAATTGTGTTTTGACATCTAGGCAACCAATATTACTTTCTTGTATTGTTAGTTGCATATGCATCATTTTATTAACAAATAGAACAACATATTAATGATTTAGTTTTCAAAAAAGTGAGTTTATTGTGTCGTTTATTGTTTTTAACTATTTTGTGCTGATTTAGAATGGAAAATGAGGACCAAAACAACATTATTACTAGGTTGTAAGTTTGACCAAATTCTATTTTTATGTGTCAACCTTCTCTTCTTTGATATAAACTTTCAATAATATAATTATAGAGACGTTAAAACGCATCTTTTCTTGACTAGCCCGGCAAAATAACTAGAAATGGCTAGGAAGTAAAATAACTTGCATTAATTTGCCGCTAGATGGTGCACCACTTAATTTTGACAGTTTCTTCCACAATTTATTATTAAATTATTTTTGTTGCATTTTTTATAAAGAATAGAAACTTGTTTATTCTGCTACAGGTTATGTATTTAGTAAAATTTATCTATGAATGATATAGAGTAGACAAGTTGTCATAGGCGCCGGAACTTAAAAATTGCTTTGGGTGCCCGGCCTCTATGCGGGAAATGGGAGCTATCACCCCCCCCCCCCCTTCCACACCTCACTTTAAGGCACCACCGGTTTTTTAAAAGCACTTAAAAATCTATTTTAAAGCGCTGATTTTATGAAAGTTTTCCTGGAAAAAAAAATATTGTCAAATGTCCAATTGCTGGATAGGCTGGATAGGTTCCAACCTAAATCGGGATATCTGGCATCTGACAACCCTATATGCTCGGTGCAGCCATCACTGGTATTCAATGGTGCTGCGGTGCTAGAGTACCAATGAAATAAGTATTATGTATCATTAACTATCATGCATTTAAAAGGAAATTTTTGATTATTTATTAATATATAATGAAGTATTGTATATATACAGGGTGGCAATTTGAAAACAAAACGAAGCTAATTTTGGGCACCCCATGTCATTTACGAAAAAGCGCTTGGACCCGTTCGAATAATAGCTTATTTTGAAGGTATTTTCACATAGATTTTAACCCCCGAGTTTTAAAACGCTGCTGTCTTCCTACTCATGATGTTTTAACGATTTTTATTTTCTGTAAAAGCTTACTAGTTACTCGAGTAAATGCTGGAAATGCTGACTCTGACCCTCGATGCAATAATAGAGGTTTTGTCCAAAACGATCTGGGACATTTTAAAGCATCTGTGGGGTGATTTGATAACATTCATCAATTATCCGTTGTTGCAGATTTTCCAGCGATGTTGGTTGGGCGACATAAATTTTTTTTTTCAAGTGGTCCCATGAAAAACTATAACGGGCTTAGATCCAGAGACTGTGGGAGCCACTTAATACTTCCTCTTCTTCCGATCCATTGACCTGGAAACGTTTGATCCAAATATTGACGAACAGTGAGGCACCGCCTTGCTTGAATATTAAATTGTTTGCTAGAAACTGATCGTCATTCTCAATCAATTCTAGTAATGCTAGACAAATGCGTTTTCTAATAATTCCAGATACGTTTCTGCGGTTAAAATTCCAGGTAAAAAAAGGGGTCAATTATACGGTTACCAAAAATACCAGCCCCAACATTCAGTTTTTTCGGATGTTGCGTATGCACTTCATGAAATATTCTGTGATTTGAATCGGACCAATAACGACAGTTGTGACTATTTACCGTACCATTTAGAAAAAAAGTGCATTTGTCTGAAAAACATACGTTGAAAACAAATTGCTATAAAAAAATTGTGAAAAGTCCATAACTTTTAAATATTTGTCAAATGCCAAATGCCAAATGTCAAATGTCAAATGTCAAATGTCAAATGTCAAATGCCAAATTCCAAATGTCAAATGCCAAATTCCAAATGCCAAATGTCAAATGTCAAATGTCAAATGTCAAATGTCAAATGTCAAATGTCAAATGTCAAATGTCAAATGTCAAATGTCAAATGTCAAATGTCAAATGTCAAATGTCAAATGTCAAATGTCAAATGTCAAATGTCAAATGTCAAATGTCAAATGTCAAATGTCAAATGTCAAATGTCAAATGTCAAATGTCAAATGTCAAATGTCAAATGTCAAATGGCAAATGCCAAATGTCAAATGTCAAATGTCAAATGTCAAATGTCAAATGTCAAATGTCAAATATTATGCATAAAGTAAAACCAAGTACTTATAGACTTTCCACCATTCTTTACCGTACTCTGAACATACACTAGCAATCGGGGATCGGGGAAGCACAAGCAACGAAGTTATAAATAGGGGAATTTTAGAAAGTAAAAGATAATTCCTAATTCGATAGTTTTACAGCCGTATGCATAGTCGATCGCCAGCGACTCGCCAGAGATTCATTTCGGCGTATCGCCAGCGATTTGCTGGCGATCCGCCAGCGAAAGCCCAAAAAGCTGGCGACTCGTCGGAGATTGTCACCGGAATGTCATTTCACGCAAGTTTTTATTTTCTTTTATAGGGATTATCACTGGTATCTCTCGCATTTTATTCATGATTCATTTCTTAAAACTCAAAAAATAATGAACGAATATCAAATTTTTCCAGCTTTTTGGGCTTTCGCCGGCGGATCGCCAGCGAATCGCTGGCGATACGCCGAAATGAATCTCTGGCGAGTCGTTGGCGGCGGCGGCTGTTACAGTTTGCAGTTATAGAGTTTTCTAATATTAAAATTTTGTAAAAAATGTCTCTTTATTATAGTTTGTTTTTTCTTTTAAAAATATTAGGGTTTTGTTTTTTATTTTCTACGATAAAAATTAATTT